AGTGAAGATGATTTCCTTTTACCATGAGGAAAATATGCAACTATTCAGTCCAAATTACATTGATTGATTCATTAATCTGGGTTGCTTTTTACATATTAGTTATTAATACCTTTGGTGCTTTCTCGGTGAGCTTTCCACTATCTCCACTCTGTGGAACATGAACTAAAATGAGGTCTGCGTGCCTGAGAGAATGAAGATGATGTGAATTAATTTTACACAATCATTATCAATAGAAGGATGACTTTCAACTGAGCTACCATAATGATTATTATTAATTAATGTTAATTTCATGTACCTGTCATTCACAGCTGTTCCACTATTCTGTTGTTCTAATGCATCTCGTACACATGCTATCAGAGTGTGAACATGGGCCTCACTGTACAAAAAAAAAAAATAAAATAATTAAAATATAGTTTGAACACTGAGCTACCAGACAGCACACACATGTTATGCACTTGCAGGGATGTATTGTCCACACCCGAGGACAAATTGTCACTTTACTTTTTGGTTAAAGCAGTGCTTAAAGGTCATCAGTTTACTGAGAAACTTTGGTATACTGATACCTTAAGATTTGGCCAGCCAAAAGTTAAAAAAATTTCAAGATCTAGTGGCGGTGAATGGTAAATGCAAGAGTTTGAAAGAATATAAGCCTAGCATTTTTGTTTTTGAGCTTGTGACATTTGTGACTTTTTAAACTGTGTAACTGAGACTTCAATGAAAATGTTTTAAAAGATGAGACTGTAAGGCCCGTGAAATAAGACAAAAATGTCGCAACATCCACAGTTTTTGAAGGACCATTCACCAACCCCTTCATGTGTCACCCATTTAAATTTATAAACAAACTGAATCATTGGATAATGCAATTCAAGAGTTTTTTATTGACTTAGCCATTACAGTATATGAGCAGTTATACCATGCTATACAAATAGGATAAGTGTACACCTAATTTTGGGGGGCATTTTTATTTTGAACTTTTAATTAGCTTTCTATATTTTGGGGGTGCTTTTATTAAAGTAATAATATTCCACTCATGCTAGTTGGATATGAGATGAGTATAACCAACTGAGCCCTATGTTGCTCATTGATTATCTATCATCTCGTATCCAATGCATGCTCGTGGAATAATAATGTCATAGCTAAACATTGCTCTTTAAGCAAATAGTTAGCACTGAGGTAGCCCATTGTGGACACTCAAACCGTGAACACTAGACATTTTTGTACATTTGTTAATGACTATAGAATGAGGGCCAAGAGTATTTCTTTTAGCATGTTTACACCGTAGAAATGCAAATCTTGTTAATTATATGAAGAGCCTTCTTTCTCTAAAATGTCAAATGTTCATGGTTTGAATGTCCTTACTGTAAACACTGTGAGGACCTTGCTGACCTTTTCAAGTTTGTGAGGCAGATGATGCGTCCTGTTTTATCACCAGTATGTGTGTGGTTTGCTTTTGAGTTTTGTGGCAATGGTTCATACAGACATTGAACAGCAGATGTTAAGCCATGCATAATGGAACAGTCTTCATCACTGTCTTCCTTAGGAGGGCCAAGACCAGCAAATGATTTGAGCAACTACGAAATAAACAAAACACTTATCAAGAGATCTATATGCAATTAAAATAATGAATTATATTGGAACAATAGCATTCAGACATAATGTACTGCTCAGAGATAGGTGAACATTGTTCGGGTGTTTTTACCACAATCTTAACATGAAGGAAATGTGCTTGAGCATTTTCGTAACGTGTTAGGTACATGTGTTTTTTAACATGTTACCCTTTGATATTCATACCCTTTATTTCTCTTGCATGCATTGTTCATGGAAAAACAAAACTTGTCTCGAGCGGAGCTCAAACAAAAGCATGTGTTTACTAAAATCATAAGATGTCAACAGTAAAACCATGAGACTCAAAATTCAAATCAAAACACAGTGAAACAAATGGTACTGCAGTAAAAATAAGTCTCACTGATATTCAAGGAGACAGAAAAACTTGAACAAGTTTGCCTCAAGATGTATTTTTATGGTTCGCCACAAAATGACAACTGAGAAAGTCATGGTTTCTACAATACCGTCATGCTTTCCATTTTGAATTGATGAATCTTGCTTTGATATAAATCAGTTTGCTGCTCAGTTACAGTAAATTGCAATAAACAATT